GTCAAGAGAATGTGTGCCAAATGAATCAAAAGAAGTGCTTAAGGGAAAATGGAACCTACTTAGACCAAAACATGTCCTACCCTGAACCAAAAGACTTCACAATATCTCCACAAAAGCCCTATATGATCTTAAGTTGAATGAAGCTTACATTAGAGGATACTCACATAAGGGGCAAGCATATGGTACTTAGAGCCGGACTTGTGACTTTTTCTTGAGAGAGATGAGTGAATTTCCACTAACCTCGTTTTGTGTGCCAAAATTCTAAAGGTGAGGTTTATTTAGGGATGATGTGCCAGAGAATTTCGGCACATTTCAATACTAATTACTTAGATTTTAGCTTGTTTTAATGCAATTATTTCCGTTACTTATGTAGTTTTGTTGTTTCTACAGTACATAAGGACTGAGAACCCAAGAACATCGAAATGGAAGCAAAAAGACAAGAAAAGAGCAAAATGTAGCACAAATGCTGGTCTGCAATACACTATGCGATCGCAGATCAGACATGCGAGCCGCAGAATGCACGTCAAATCGCAGACAAAAGCAGAGATCATCTCAAGTCAAGAATGGGGTCCATTATGCGATCGCAGAACCAACATGCGAACCGCAGAATGCACGTCAAATTGCAGACAAAAGCAGAGAACTGGGTTAAATCTCAAGTCAAGAATACGGTCCACTATGCGACCGCATAACCAACATGCAAGCCGCAGAGTGAACCGCAAACCAACAATGAAGATCACTGAAGGACGAAGATGTGATGCAAAATGCAATCGCATTTCTGCAATGCGATCCGCATAATTGGAATGCGAAGAATGTAAACTAGGGTTCCAGTCTGCGATAAGGTTGTTCAAGATACGGACCGCATACGTGCTCTGCGACAAGAATGCGATCGCATATCAGACCTGAAAGGGCATTTTTGTCCATTTTTTGTCCTGATTTTGAGTCCACTATAAATAGTTTTATGATGTCTTTGTGGGCTCATCCTGTCTAGTCTTTGAACCACATTCCAAGACATTAATATTCCTCACTTTTGGAAGCTTTTGGGTGANTAAAACATTTCAAATAACCAAGCAATTCAAAACAATGTGACGAACTGAATATATCCACAGGCTCAGTTCTAAGTTCAACTACACCAACAGGCTCATTTTAACACAACATTTAGGATAGAAACAAAGCAGGAGGGGAAACAGACTATAATGGACCATGAAATCAAAACCAAAATGAAACTACTATCATGTTAAACTAACACTCAAACCTACCGGACTAATCGACGACGCTTATTCAATTTATTACACAGGCTATAACATTTAGCAATTAACAACAAACAATCAGAATAAACAGACCAACCAGTGATTCGAGTGGTATTGACAAATACAGGGAACTTATAAACTAACAAATTACATGGCTTATAACATATATTCGACCATGAACAGAAGCAGACT